GGACTTAAGAGAAAGATGTCCGAGATTCATCTGTAACATGCCTGAATGAGCTGGTACATCTCAGAGGAAGAGTCTTTTAAACGCTGGCTTCCTTAGCTCAGAAGTGGAAAACATCTCAAAAGCACATGGAGATTCAAATCAATATGGGCAACAGAGAAATTCAATAGATTTTCAGTATTCTAGGCAAATTTTGACCTGTGTCATTGTCTATTAATTCAACATTTATCTTTCCTGCTTCATGCTAGTAAAGCACAACTTGTCTACATGGAGAAAATAAGCTGTTGCTTATATGTCTATTTATCAATCATGGTTAATATAGCTTGGTATTTGCAAGATGAATCTGTGCTAAACATTTTTAAATTTTACATTCATTAAATATATATTTACTAAATGCATATCAAGTGCCAACTATGTGCCAATGTACTAGTTTTTAGTTAGTTATTCAGGGGTGATCACAACAAATTTGATTCTGCTTTCACTGAGCTTAATTTTTAGCAGGAGAGACAGACATTAAAAAAACACAAATGCATATACAATTTTAAATGTGATAATTAGAGTCACAATTGTATTCCTAGCCTACCCATGGCAAGGTAGATTGGGGACCACAGTAAAATCATCAGTTAATGCCAACTCACAAAAGAAGGTTATGGATCACTCTCCTGTGTAATTTCCTAAACCCCCACCTCAGGTCAAGGAGATGATCAAATGATAGGATGCATGCATGTAATCCAATTTGTTAGGTATGGGGCAAGTATTAGGCTTTCTTTCCTTCATCCCTATTCAAAATTTGATTTTAAGATAAGGTTTCCTTTCCATAGCTTAATGACTAAATGCTTTAAGAAGCAAATGTGTATGAATTTATAGCTGCAAAAACAAACTTGAAAATAAAACAATGGGCAATTTTTTTAACCTAAAATCATATATACTTGAAAACACCTACTTAATCCATATATACTTTCATATTAGAATTGTATCAGCACACATTTGAAAGAAAAACTAAATACTACACCCCAGGAAATTAATTCAGCAGTATTGAAATATGAAAAATACAACAATACTCTGATATTTATGGTAAAAGTCCAGATTTAAAATACTTGAGTCATATGAGAGTTTACAATTTTCAGTTAATCATGTAATAAATATCTGGAATCTTGAAAAATTAGAAATTTATATTTTGCTTTATGACTTCATTATATTAATCCTTTATTGTATTAATCCTTTTTATAACAATAAGAAAATAAAAGCAAGGAGCCACTAAACTAGAGAGTTACACTAATATAACAAATAACAATGAAGGTATTTTGTTGTCACTGAGATCAATATGATTTATTATCTGAGGCTCTATGGATAAAGCTGATAATGTAATAATCAGAGCAGTTAAATTCACCTAGAACTCCACATATGCTCTCATCTCTACTTATAAATTTATTTTAGCTTTACCAGACATACCAACTCTTTCTGTTAGGCAGGCTCAATGGGATGTATTATTTAGTATTATTTTCAAGATACTAAATTCTAACATTGTGCAAAATCTATAGAGCATACAACGTTGGAGAAAAGCTCTGTGATAAAAAGTAAAATAGACTACACAAGGCAAAGCATGTTAAATGTCTCACTTTGCTTTAAATACATTAGGCTTATAGTTATCTTCTCCTGTCACCCACCCTACAAGAGCTTTCTGTTCTCCTTTTAGATAATCTGATGTGATCACTTCTTTCCTCTCACCACAATAACTGCGCACCCTTACGCACCCTCTTTCATTTTCCCCTTTCACATTTTTCTGACTGTCCAATGACTGGAGCTTTCTCTTTCTTATGATCTTTTGGCTCTTTATAGCAACAATTGTTTTTCTTAAAAGAAATTCTTATTCAGCCAAATTCTTCCCACTGCCCATATCTGCTCTCTCTGATATTCATAATACTCACTTTGCAAACATTCTGAGAAGTGGCTTACTACCCAAATTTAATCCTCCAAGAACAATATGCTGGTCAAATCCCAAGGCTGCTTTCAGAACAGTGTGGTTCATTAGCAGTAATATCTGCTTTTGCAGTTCATTTCTGCTGGATGACATTTCTACTGCTTTGTCCCAGTCTTCTGTTGTTAACTTTTTGGTTTGGGGGTTCTATTTCTTGTTGCTATCATTAAACTGGCCTTTTAATGACAAACTTTGCTCTTTGTTATAGTAATTACTCCAAAATCTTTGTTGCAAGTGCTTGGGTTGCTTCAGAATTATGATACAGTGTATTACTTTATCACCTCTAAGGGTGTCTCTGGAATTTCAGTATTTCTGTAACTGACCTCACCCTTAGCTCCTCCCATCTTTGGTCCTGATCCTCAGCCCCTACATGCAGTGACCGAACCATCATCTTAGCCATTAGTCATGACTGAAAATCTGGCATCATCTTAGGTCATGTTTTTCTGTTTAAATCTCATTTTGCCACCTCTCATGAGTTCTGCTTCTTCTGTACTCACTATGGTACCCTTTGCACTTCACCATCTTTTCTGGCACCCACCAACTCAAGCTCTTTGGACATCTCCCACGGATCAATGGAAAAGCCTCTTAAGAGGTCTTCTATACATTCCTTCCTTTAGCCAAAACTCTAGCACACAGCTGTCAAACAAGTTCTTCTGGAACATTTACTTCAAACTCCTGGGTTCAAGATAAAGCCTAATATTTTGTACAATTAAGACTTTCCATAAAGGTCAGGGATGTAGCTCAGTGGCACAGCTCCTACGTGGCAAGCACAAGGCCCCAAGTTCAAGTCCGAGGACCAAGATCTTCCATGAATTGGCTCCAATGTGTCTTCAATGTTATTTTCCTATATTCACTTACAAATCAAAGATCAGTCAAACTGAGTTCCTTTTTTCTGGTGTCTCTTTCTGTCTTCTGTTTTGCTGATACTCTTAATCTTGGATTAATTCTGAAAGCCCCTCTCTTATCTCTGCATTTCCATTGATCACCTTTCTTTCTAGGCCAAGCTCTGATATCATTTCCCCACAGAAACTCCCCCGATTGAGGCATTATTTGGAGAACAATAAGTATACTCCAGGCCCCTACAGCTCTCTATGTGTCAATTAGCTCATTTCAAGTGAACAGTAACCCTTTGTTTCATACAAAGAGATAAGGGAAGAAGATAATTGCTTCAGAATTAAGAAAATGGTAAGGAAAGCTGGGATTCTGACTAACATGTTCTGACTCTATTCAACTGTTGCATTTCTCCTTCCATTTGATGCCCTCTTCAGTACCTTCAAGGGCATATGTCTGGGGGCCGGTGAGATAGCTCAGTGGTCTAAAGCGCCTGCTTAGGTATGCTTAGGCAAATGTGCAGAGACCATGGAATGATTTCTGGCACCAAATGCTGCACCAGCCCTGCCCCCAGAGTGGGCTGAGGTGGCCAACAACAACAAAAAAAGGGTATATGCTCATTTCTTCTAACATTTTCTATACTTAAATCTTACTTCAGAGTTACCAAATTGTATATTAAATTCACTAATAATATATAATTCCTGTACAATTCATGGTGCCTTTATTTCCTCAAAAGCTTGTGATTGAATAGAGGATGAATGTACTGTCCTCCTGTTTAAAACTTCAGTATATTTTTTGTTGTCTATTTTATCATATCTAGATTGGTCCAACTCGCTTAAATGCCTTCAGGAATCCTCAGGTTCCAAATTTGACCAAGATGCTCTTGTGCGCCAAGCTTATTGTCAAGTAAAGTAAGTTAAAGCAGTTACATTGTTAAGAATTTTTGGAGACAGGGTGGATAGCTCTTGCAGTCTAAGTATCTGCTTGGCAAGCACAAGGTCCTAAGTTTGATCCCCAATACTGCATGTTGACCCCAAAACTGGATGTAGTGCACATGCCTGTAATTCCAGTGCTGGGGAGGCTGAGACAGGAGGATCACTACAAGTCTGAATTGGATAGCGAGACTCTATTTCAAAAAAAGGGGGGGGGGCAGGGCTACAGCTCAGTGGCATATGCTCCTGCTAGCAAACACAAGGTCAAGAAAGAGTTTAATCCTCAGTAATGAAAAAAAAAGAATTTTTGAAAATGAATTAAGAATTTTTGTTAAAGGTCAAATCATATATTTTATTACTTCAACCAAAAATATACAAAAAACTATGCACTGAATTGCAGTTCAGAATTGGTCCAAAAGACAATAATAGGATAGTCTAGATGGATTGAGCTGATTTCTTAACTAATGGATAGTGAGGCAAAGATTTTCTCTAGGTCTTCCTGTAGGACAGTAAAACATCCCATTTTACATCTTACATGACCTTGCTTTATCACGTGACCTATCTTTGGCAGGGACACAGAAATGCATTTAGCAGCTGCACCCAAAGTACATATAGAGTACCTGGTTGTGATAATGTAGCTGTAAGTAAAATCGTGGTAAAACCTGATACAAAAAAGCTAAATGCTTGTTAACTTTAAAAAATTGCATCTAACATTTTAATATTATGTTTTTATATGTAGCATTGGACTATCCATTCAAACAAGGCAGAGAAACTGCACTCTGAAACAAGCTCTTGGTCAGGAGGTGCCTCACTGAGCAATCTTGGCTCTGCAGCTGTCTCACCCCCAGCTGCCTCCCTCATGTATGCCCAGTGCTTGAACCTCTCCAATGAAAATGACAAATGTATGGGTATGTAGGTATAGACTAGAGGCAAATACTACTTGTTTTCATCAAATAGCATAAAAATACCATCTGAAGAAAAGAAAAAGTAATATTTTTTCTTTTAATGTGTTCTTAGGTTCTACTTTTGCAAAAAAAATTAAATAAGTAGAGAGATAAAGAGGAGATGAAAGAAAGAAAATGTTATCCACTTAAATAAGGCACTTAATTAAACAGAGTAAGGGTCAATACACTTCTGCAAAGAACATTTGTCTAAGGTAATTGATCAGAAGTGCCTTTGCTAAACCCAGTGGGTCCTAAAGAAATTCAGGGTTTGATTTGCCGGGCAAGTGGAGGAATAAAGAGGAATTTCAGTGCACGTACATTTCCGTGATGGTCTCCGGCAGGTTGGTGGGGATCTCAGTGAGACCCTTCCCGCGACAGTCTACGATGTTGTTGCTACAGGTACAAGCAGCAGGGCAATGCAAAACACTGCAGGATGGGGCCATAAAGGACTGGTGACCTAAAAGAGAGACAAACAGCGTCCATTTACCTCCTGGATTTTATAATAGTGGAACATGCAGACAGCGCAACTAATAAGTCATGTGACAAAAATACATTTCTCTAAATGTATTCATTTTCCACAAAATGGTCCTATGTTTCTAAAATGGATTGTAGGAAGCATGCATTTGTACTTTTGGGTCAATATTCAGATGAAGCAAATAAGATATTTTATCACTCATAAAAATGATAATTGTTAAAGGTTGAAAAGATTGAGAGAGTCTAAATTCAGATTCCAGACCAGAATTCTATTCAAAATTATTCTTGAGTTTCCAAGAAAAGCAGCAATTTCAGCCTAATCAATATCATTTCTAATAAGTTTCTAATAAGTGAAGTGGTCTTTTTCAAATTTATATGACTTAATTTACTTAGTCTAAAAAAGAGAAAGAAATGTGGCAAGACTTCCATGTTGGTAGATATAAATGGTGCTCAAAGTAAGTAATCTTGTGCCAATAAAAGTGGGTGAAATAAGATAATTCTCAGTTTGATGTCCCGTTAGATTCAAAATAACTACTTTCTTTGAAGTCATTGTACTAACTTGAATGGTGACACTGCGTAATTGTCAATCTATGTGATTCTTTTCGGAGCTTTACATTGTACAGAATTTTACTGTAAGTAGTTAGACTGCAGCCAGGTGTTTCTACAATTCAATATTGGGAAATAAGTGTACTTTGAATTTAGACTGTATGACTAGAATTATGAACAGAATGCTGGTGGGCAACACCAACTGGGCATCTGCAGACGTATGGCCTTTCCAGGACAGAGGGGCCGCCCTCTGGGCCTGGAGGGAAGGGTCCTGGTGGTAGAGTTGGCCAGGAAAAGATTGTAAGCTGCATGTTGCCCCATTCCTTTAGACAAGCTCTCAAACTACAATACTACTCTCAGGCTAAAAAAGAAATATGAACTTGCCTTCTTCCTCATCTAGAAATCAGGAAGGAAAAAGCAAAGAGAAAAAAGTGGTTAGTAGTGAGTCCTTAGTCATTCCATTGATGCATTTCAAAGAGCAACCAAACCTGTTAAGAACATTCCATGGCACTGTAAGAGAAGGTTTTCTTATCTTAAAAACAATGGAAAAATTTATTATAAAGTCTAAGAATAACAATTAGGGTCAAGCACTAGCAATTGCTCTCTGTTCCTTTTTTAAAAAACTACTTGTAAGGCATTACAGTCCCTTGAGATGCTTGAGGCATTGGGGCTAGTACTATGGAACCTGAGGATGTTCTAGTCACTTCTGTAAAGTGATGTAGTTTCCTACTATTAAACATCATAGTATTTGGATGTGTGCAACATTGCCCACTGTACACTTTAAACATTATCTATAACATATAATACAGTGTGAATACTGCACAAATAGTTTTCTTAGGACGAGGAAAAATTAGTACACATTCAGGATAGATGAGATATTTTTCAAATATTTTCAATCTGCGATTGGATGAATCTATGCTTACAGAGCCTGTGGATATGGAAAGCCAATTATATTATGCATACATTAATAAATGAATATTATATATAGCTTTTATTCCATTATATTTTAACAGATAATTCTGAAGCTAGCCTTATATTTATAAAATATATTATGTATCAATAGACACATACACACAAATATATGATAATATAAATATACATTTAGGCACTGTGTGATTGTTTACTTATTTGTAATCCTTGGATGAAACCACATAAACTTAGACAAGGTTACAGTTTTTCATTGCATTTTAACCTCTAGTACCAAGGTAAGAGTCTATTGCTCAAACGGTCGTTTTGAGAGAATTCGAATAAGGTACTTATGTGGGAAATACTAAAACTCGTGCTTAAGTGTACAGAAATGACAGTTAGGTACTGATATCTTTTGTAATATAGGTCACATTTTATTTCTATATCTTTGTTGTTAAGTCAATCATTTATTTAATTTGAATCATTATAGTTGTATACATGAAAAATATTTAAACATTTGGCAAGCTGGTACAATTACTTAATTTCAGAGCATGCATCTATTGGGGTAGCTAATCATTTTTTTAGTTATTAATATAAATGTAAATATAAATGATTACTTAAAGGGGAAAAATGAATAGAAAGTAGAGTGACATCTAGGAATTTTCTGATTTTCCTCTAAAGTGAAAACTGAAAAATCTCAGGTCCAAGTACGTTGCCAGTTCTAATTATGCACAGTAGGTCTGCATGCATTACACCATCATAGCGCAAAAGCTCTCCACAGAGTGACTAGTGCAGGACGGCAATTAGTGAGCAGTGCGGAATTCGAAGCATTCATCCCTCCCATTCTACGCCAGTGGCATTCAACACTCTAACATAGCCCTTCTTGCTCTCTTACCACTGCAGACAAATTCTCGTTTTTGAACCTCTGCCACGTTGTGACCTCTCAGGTGGGAAGGCCCCATGCACTGAGTGTACAGCCCCACCCGGGGCCTTTGACGAAGCCAGTCCGAGAGCCAGGCCAGGTGGCAGTCACAGTATAAGTTGTTGGAATGCAGTCGACTAAAGGAGAAGAAAGACATTGGGAGAAAAAAAAAACAAAACAGGAAATAGTTACTTCAAAATGCAACAAATTCATTAATAGTAACATGTCATTATTTTTTAATAGATGAGGCTACATTTAGCACATTCCAATCAAGTTTTTTTTTTTTAATGAAACTGTGACACAACACAGAATCAAATCTCTCTTTATTTAAGTTAAGCAAATACTCAGAAGCTGCAAAAGTACCATAAAATTCATTTGCCTATACTCATTTGAACAGGTAAAGAGAAAATCAACAGTTGGGGTAAATTGCTCCACAGACCTGGCACACAGAGCCGGGGGAAATGGGGTGGAGAAAGTGAGGGGATTGGGGAGGGTAGGCAGGTTAATAAAAGTTGAGACTCGGTATGAAATACCAGTAAGGTCTGCCATTATTGTCTCTACAGAAACTGCTTGCAAAATCTTTTTACCAGGTCACGTTTTGCTGAACAAGGCAGAATAATAATTCAATATAAAATGGTTTTCTCACACCCTTATTCTGATTCTCTTCTTCTTTTTGTTTAATCACAGGGAAGGGATTAGCTGCTTTCGGTTCTTGGGAACCTGTCCCCAAAGAGCAGAGACTGAAATTAAAAGACATAAGTGGCTGGGAGTGAAGGAATTAAGTGAGTCCCCTCTGTGTTGGCAGGGTCCACACAAGACCATGGATTGCTTCCAAGTGGCAAGTGGCACTTCTCCATTAATAAAATATCAGACAAATGTATGCACTAAATTAGGTAAATGACTTCAAACTGGCTTTTATGCTTCTCAAACTCAAGAAAGGAACATCCAAAGCCATAAATCAAAGCATCGTTCCCAGAATCATCTAGGACACCGTAATACCATTTTAGTCCTTTTTAGCTGATGTGTTCAATTCTAACCCAATAACAGTAATGGACAGTAAAACATGGAACTTAGTCCAGAAAGATAATTGGACTATAAAAATGTAATTTTTAAGGAGCTGTGACACTCTAGAGCAACGAAGTGACCCAAGCAAGGGGATTTGATGGCTGTTTTACATTCTCCTTGAGTCTGTGGAGAAGAAATAGACCTTCTCGCATTAAAACCAGAAAGCATGCCACTGAACAGAGGCAAGGCGAGGTGACCGCAGGCTCAGGTTGTTTAGAAGTGAAAGTGCCACCCTTTGGAAGCAGGCACGTACATTCCGCATCCTTCTTTTCTAAATATGTCCCTCTCAACTACCACAACATAGCGACTCTGGTAAGTCGAATTTCAAATAAAGAAGAAAAAAACACCACTGTTTGTAAGTAGGATCACAGGTCTGCATCTTGTACAGCAATTAACCACTGGGAAGAATGTATGCAGTGTATTATTGAAAAAAAAATAACATTTTTGGTCTACAAGCTCTGAAATACTACATAAATATAACATATGTATGTGATAGTACAAATCTGATGATGTCTGCCTCTACTTGTACAGAAATTGTGTACCTAAACCCATGCAAATTTTCCTATGAAGAATTTTATTGTTATCAAAAAAAAAAAAAAAAAAAAAAAAAAAAAAAAAAGCAAAAAAAATCAGAAAGCTGATAATTAAGACAAACTAGTACATTCCTGCCAGAAATGAAGGCCACTGATGGAGTATGCCTTCACAAGTTTCAGTGGTTTCATTTTCTTACAGAATGGAAGCATGATTGATTGTTCTTGTAATAAAAAGAATTAAGATGCGTGAGATGCACATACGAACTCCCCATAATGAATATCATCACACACTGCAGACGTGTACTAATAATAATTAGCTAAAGTTAATGGGGAACTAATTTTATAAATTATTAAGTGAGCTGGTCTTTTAATAACATCAGGTTAGTCTCAAGCTGATTGTCCCAGTTAAACAAATCTTAGCTATCACTATATATTTTTAGAATTTCTTTACCTTGATAAATCACATTCCAGGGGGACTCTAATGACAGGTTATATGGTTTGATTTTATTGAGGAGAAAATGATTTTGATATTGGTACTGTAGAATTCACTGAAAAGCTAGCAATCTAATTGATTTTTATTGCAGACAGAAACTACATATAATATTTTCTAGTTATAAGCTCTTATAAAATGACAATCATTTTTGAAAATTCAAGCAAAATGTTTTTGTCCTGCTTACCCCCCCAAAATTCAGCACTTTCACTTTGTTTCCAGTCATTTATCTGATGATCAATATAATACCATATGTTATAGGTTAAGGTGATTTCAAAACCTAGCAGCAATAAAATTTACTTCTGAAAATACTGTAACTAAATATTTCCACTCAAGATTAAGGGTTACTGTTTCTTCTGAGGAAACAAGTAGCTGTAGCTAATAGTTCATTTGAGAATCATCTTGTTCTCCAAAAAATCATAACATTCAACATTAATCCATCATCTTGTTCTCCAAAAAATCATAACATTCAACATTAATCCCTGAAAAAATATTTTTAAATATAAACGCTGACACAACCTTCATTATGTAGGGAGTAAAGGGTGATGCTGATTTTCACTTTACAAGGAATGTTAGAGAACCAGTTTAGCTTTATTAGGTTTGCTTAGAGTACAGTAATAAAATCATAAAGATTTCTCATTTATCATTTCTGACAGCCAATCAACAAGTCTTCTATTTCTTAATGAAATATGACCCTTACAATAGCTCAAAGTAAATGTTCTATACTTTTAACTGCAAATTTACTTAAATGTATACCATTCAAGTTTTCAGAATTAGCTTTCATTTACTAAAATACCATTTTTTGTATTTTTGTAAGCTATAATTTCCTTCTTTATCTCATAATGAACCCCACAGTGGTCCTATTCTTTGTTTACTAGAAATAGTACTTAAGGAGCAGTTTTTTAAATCTTTTATTTATTTGGTGAAGGATTTCATTACACAACTTAGATTCTTAGTGATCCTCCTGTCTCAGCCTACCCAGCACTGGGCTTACCAGTGTGCATCACCATGCCCAGTCTTGGTGGCCAGCTCAGCACAGGGCCAGCATGTCGTGCGGTTCTGGGGATTGAACCCTGTTCCTTGTACTTGCCAGGCAGGCACTTAGACCGCCAAGCTATCTCCCCAGCCACTTAAGGAATATTGCTAATAAATTAATCTTTCTTTTATCTTTTAACTACTTACAAAGTCCTAAGTTTAGGCATATGATTGAAACTTGCAACGGACAGTCTTGTAATGTTGTTATTGTTGAGAGTGCTGTAGAATAAAAAAAAAATTAGCAACATTAGATGCATAAAAGCATAGACCATTGGTATTTATTCACATACAGGAAACTTCCTGTGGCCATATTATGTACAGCCTGCTAGAGGTGGCATGAACAAATCTCTATTTATACACAAGATTATAATTTTTATATGTAAATATATATCAACGTATTCGGTTGCATTCAACATGTACAAAAAAATTATGCATTTGATGAAAGCATCCCTTCTAACTTACAGATGACTTTACATACTGTGCACACGCATGGCTACTTACAAAGCTGGTTAAGGAATGAACACGTGACAACCACTGCTGGAAAAGTGATACGACTCCTTCTAGAAGCACTGTATGTAATTAGCATTCAGAAGTTAATGAACACACATGAATTCTTTAACTGAAGTCTCATAAAAACAAAACAGAATTATCGTTGCCAGGTCCCGGGGGCACCACTGATAACTACACCTCACTGTGGACCTTGGCTGCCTTTGAAATTTTAGTAGACGACTTACCTGTGTATTTGTGATATTGGGTGTGCTCTGCCAGGGTATTAGAAATTTAACTGGTTAGTTGCAACAGGGTGCGCTGGCGTTTTCTTAGTGCTGTGTGGTAGCAATCAGGCTTTCTCCAGGCCCAAGAAAGGTGGGTGGTCAGGAGAGTTATGGTAAGAACAAGTAAACTGTTTGCTTGCTTCTCCTGTTATGTGTTTTTTCTCAACAGAAGCATTGTTTGTGTTACTAATTGAAGCACGATTATTTTCATTAATAATTATTTTTTTGTAGGAGTGATCAGTTGAAAGCAAATCTTGAGAAGTGATACCTTTTAGTTCAAATATCAGGATACATTTTAACTGTGTGTTCTTTTTTTTAAAAAAAAGTCATTTTTCTCAAGCACCAGAAAAACGATATCCACTCATATAACACGCTCCAAATAACTGCAAATTCTAAAGGTTCTTCCTTATGGAGTTACTTCTTCTGTATAATCTATTACAAGTCCCTGGTTGGTGGTATTCATGTGTTGCAAATCTAGATAGGAAAGAGTGCATGTTCTAGTCTGTAGCTAACGCACCCAGCTTTACCGAGAAGTGACGTCAATCCTTCAATCTCAGAACACCTCGTATGGCACAAGTGATACCCAAAATGCACAGCTGGCCTAAAGAGGCCTCGAGAAGGGATTTTGCTTGGCGCAAACAGACCTGGTTCATAGCCTGAATCATCAGAGTTAGTTGCTGGTATTTGAAAACTAGGAGGTTGATTTGTACTTTTCCCTGGAAAATCAGGTTGGAACTCTTCTTACAGCAGTAGGACAATGGCCCACTGCAGCTGAACTTTGGTTGTGACAACAAATATCACTGCCTGTATCTTGAGTCCCACCACCCACAAATATCTGCTGTTCATCTGCTCTGCCCATTGCATTTCTTTGCAGATCGGTTGTTTCTTTTATCTGTATTCCTGGCCTGGCTTCTGTGGACAAGTGAATGTGCAAAACTTTCTGCAGTACTGAACTTCACCTGGACCTCTGATCCTAGCTTCCTTGCTTCCTTCAAAATTGTTCTGGCTCTGGTCATCGCCCCAGGCTCTTGTTCATCTCTGTCCCTCACAGTCACATTCCAGATCCAGACTTTCACATTTGAAAGATAAACGTTCTATCATTTCCTTATTACAATCCAACTTCTCCAAAGGAAAACCACAATCTCTTTTAATCTTATTAATTCTAAATTTTTGTAGGATGCCTAATTCGTCCCACTAGCTATTTCAATTTTCACAGGGATTTGCTTTCAAATGACCTCTTTTTCCACCTTCAAAATTTATGCTGACTTAATACGGTTAAACTCTTTAGAGTACGTAGCATTCTAAAATGTGACCTTGAGGATACATTTTTTAAATTAGTTCATACACTACAGAAATGCATCAATTTTGCAACTATAATTTCTTGTACTTTCATGCAAAAGGGTTTCCACTGAGTGTTGAAACCTATATCTATTATATATATTTTCTCAAAATATTAGTTCACATAACGCAATGGAAGAAATAAATTATTTTCGCAATACTTGAGTACAGATGCTGGCCGATCATACTGATTCTGATAGTGACTGAAAGATACACGAAAGCCACAACATTGTCTTTAAAATTCATAGTGATTAATATAGTGTTCATCGGATATGATGGCATACAAGTGTTTCAGCTGTGGTCAATTCTTGTTTTAAAACAACAGAAACTTACTTAATTACTTATTTGTAAAAATGTCTTCCTGTGTAGGTCTATTTATATACTCAATTTCTGGATTTTTCTTTGTAGTGAAAAATTTTCTGATATTTTACATCTGATATTTCTGATGTTTTATGTCTTGGTGTAAAAGTAGGAAGTGCCACCTCGTGTCCCGGGGCGCGTCTCCTGCCTAGGTGGTGCTTCAGCTGTTCTTTCTGTGGTAGGAAGCAAGCAAGTGAGCCGGCAGAGTGGGCCCTTTCATGGACAGGAACCAGTATATTTCAGTGCAATGAAACTATGCCCAGTTTGTGAACAATGAAAAATCATGTAAAGCCAGCTTCTTGAGGGATAGATTTCATTTCTGAGTCTGGTGTCAAAAAATAAAATATTGATACAGATTTAGTTTCCAATGTTCTTTTGGAGATAGTATCTTCAAATTAAAAATAAACAATTAGTTCTATATCCTGATAGCCAGAATTCCTTGGGAAGACAGCTCACCCTGAACAGACACACAGTAAACTATCTCCTCGCCTTCACCTACCTTGGCTTCTCATTGGTTTCTAGGACTTTACTTGTTCCGCTTACCACGGCATGAATACTAACCAAATGGACATTCACAATGACTTAGGATAATTACGGGACCTCTCCTGTTTGGCATCAGGAGAATCACATATTCACAAGTGATTCAAAGAATTAAAATAAAATAAAATCCTAAAGCACAGGTAATCTGGAAGTTAAAGCGATATGCATGTGACTGTTTCTTATTTCCACATAAGAAAAAGACACATCTGAATGAGTTATAATGCCAAGAACAAGCAGACAACTTTTGTCCTGGAAGCATTTTGAGTATAAATATATAACGGGCTAACTTTTCATGTACTCTCCAAGAGATTTCCGCATAGTCTTTTCTGCGTGTTATTAAATTTTGCCTTCGGTTTTCATCAGTTTTGAAAAAGGTTTAAAGTGTTAAGATTTAAAAAGTATCATCTATGAAAATACTTCATTATTTTATGAAATGTTAAATGTAAATCTGAAATGAAAGCATTCACATGTGGCATATCTGGTGAAAAATTAAATTATTTTCCCTAACAAACAGGTTCTCATCATGATGTATATCTCTTTGGGGTGTATGTACTGAGGTTCTCAAAGGAGGAGTAAAATGTCAGCATTTTAGATTTCCATTTTAATATTATGAAATGTCATTCTTTGGTTATCACTCTATGTTTATAACTCTTTTGTATATTTCTTGATAATGGTTCATGCTAAAATCATCTTTTTAGGTATTTTGGCAAGATGACAAAAATGTAGATGGTAATAGTATTTTTATACACTTACTGCTTCTAAAAATAAGCTTTGGCTTATAGGAAATGTATAAATATATAGTTATGCTATTTCAGGTAAAGGATTCAGTGCCCAAATGCCTAGCACAGTTCTTGAATCCCTCTTGAATGTCTGTCTGTCTATTTAATCTATCATCTATAAAATATTTACAGATTCTCAATCTATATCTACATTTACATCTATATCTGTATCTACACCTATATCTATAATACACTGATTCATTATTTAGCATGAACTTAAGCTTTTAATTGAAAAGAATCATAAAGTTTTCACTTGATTTAATTTTTCTAGAATATGCAGCAAATTTTCTACACAATGACTTTAGTATTTTTAACTTAAAATACTCTTATAAGAGATTTGTTGGCCTGATAAGCTCTGTTTATTGAAGTAACTTGCCACTGTCTTTTTACACACAAAGTCTAGTGACTTTGACTATGGCTTGGTATCGGACCATTATCATAAAGTCGCATTTATGTCATAATTATTTGATTCTGAAGTAATGAGTTTTGCATATTGAAAGTTGTTGTATACAAAATAAAAAGTGATCATATAAATGAAATGTGCATGAAAAATCACTTTGAATGTGTGTCCTAAAATGTATGACTATTATCAACAGAAATAAAGATAATCCTTCTGTTCTTAGAGAATAAGATAAAAATTCATATTTCACAATTTATATCAATAACAATGCACATGGTTTTAAAAATAGTTCAGAGTTCAGTACATGGTACAATGAGAAATTCTATTCATTTACTTGCAAGAAATTTATAATCTTATGGAAAATACCATAGCACACGCAATTCAAACTAAAGAAGTTTTCTTTTCAGGACTTTATTCTATTTTTGAAACTTAATTTAATAAGTACTGAAATTCCTTTCAGAAGAATTTGATAATTTTTGATAACTTTGAGCAAATGAACATAACATTAAAAATCCTCTCAACATTTAGTTTGGTTTTAGGTTTATGATCAAATTTTTTCAAGGATAAGATAAAGGGGAAGAGAACATGTTTATTCAGGAAGCAAACTCTGAGTACATTTTAAAATCCAGAAATGGAAATGTTTGGCAGAAAAAAAATCCAGGAGCATACAGGCAGCAAAAGTGCTTCAGCAAGTACAGTTTTGATTAAATTTTATTTTATTAAAATTATTTCAATAAAAGTTCACTAAAGCAAAAGTCAATAGGAAAAGGTAAGGATACACATTGCAATAATTATCCACTCATTATTTTGTTACAAAGTTTTACTTTTTCATAAAATTAAGAAAAAGTGAAACAAACCAAAGAAGTTAATAGAGATTGCTTAGTTGTCTCTAACCTTTTTCTGTGCCATGTCCTCCAGTAAGTAAGAGCACGGCATTTACAGTTCAGATCTGCGTGTTACACATCAAAAGTCAGTAGTGATGACTTAGGAATGACTTAGTGCGCAGCTTGGAAGAATGGAAAATTTAAAAATAACCCTACACACGTTGTATACCTTCAGTTCCCAGTAAAACATTACATTTTTCAATAAAAAAATACCTTTTTATTCCACACTAAGTATAGAATACGCTGAAACATAGTAACTAAGAGGCACATCTTTTATGTTATGATTCTTACAGAATTGATTTTATCTGAATATTTAGCCATATGGCGAATGCTCACAAATCCTTTACGTCCTAGGAGAGTGGTTTATGGTAGGAAAAATACATTGTAGTGTTCTTTTCAAAGATGCTACTTTGCCTAAATATAAAGATAGGAAGCACACGATTTTGCACATATATATTTCAACTCTGCACTCTTATTTAAGGTATCTCTTTAGGGGATCATTTTGACACAGGTCTTAAGCCAGCAGATAAACCTCCACATTTCTATTCTCCAGACACAAAGCTCCTGTTAAATGAATAAGAGAAATAAGCAGTACTCACAGCACTTCCAGGTCCCGGAGAGCCCTAAACGCCCCATCTTCAATACAGCTGATCTGGTTGTAATCCAGTTGCCTGTTAAATAGATTATAAGAATATATGTAAAGGAAATGAACGGAAGCAAGGGTAGGTGGCTGGAAGACTCTTGAAGGCTCTGCGAAGCCCCGGACCCGCTCACTGAAATGCTTTCACAAGCGCACTCCTCTGCTTAAGAATGTCAAAAACCATCCCGGCCCCTCTCTGCACCGCTACTGAAATCTTTTTGTTCTGAACTGTCTGTACAAATAGCAGCCTTTGGAAAGCTCCAGTAAATAATAACTGCACCTTATATTAAATGCCATAGGAATGCAATTTCATTACATCAAGAAAAGCTATCCATTAAGAGCTTTCAGCGTCATCTTGCTGAAACAATTTCATTAAGGTAAAGGACTGTAAATCACTTAATGTCACATGCACCCCTCAGTGACCTAACAGAATTCATTTATCAGAGAAGCCCAGCTGCATGTTAATTTCGCCAGCGTTGGCAAGAAGGAGCATGGCTACTTTTAGGTTTCTTTATTTTAAAAGCAGTTTTCCTTTGAGAACTTCAAGCCCAGAAGGACAGATGATGTGCCATCGATCTCCCTGTGAGTCCCAACCAGGAGTACACTTTAGAAACTTAGCAGTGACGGTGTAGCAAAGGGCATTTCTCAAATGCAAGTTTTTATCATTATAGTCAAGCTCGCCATAAATGTACACAGCATTCTTTCAGTCGAGAAAATTCCAGAATGATATGACTCTAAGAAAATAAATTTCCAAGTATTAAGAAATTAATCCAATTTCTAGTTTTCTCACAGGCATTAATTTTGGTCTCAAAGCTGAACAAGTATACACTACAAGATCACTGTTAAGTTATCAAATATCTATGGCAAAAAGTTTAAACTTCAATCAGTTCTTTCTAAAGACTATAACTCAAAGAAATGAATCTTCTCCACCAGGATACGTATTCTGTGATAAAAGTTCAAAGGCACAGGGAAGACATAGGATGCTTTTTCCCTACTGTTTGTCTTGTAATTAAAATGTTCATATTCATACTACAGCATTGCTTGATGGAAATGAACAACTAAGTAACCAAGACTAATGTGCATTCTCTTCTTTTTTCCAAATAGTTGTCTAAACCTGGTAGCGTGATACTTACAGATATTATTATTCAAACAAAAATGTATCTTACTGCTTCACTTGAGATAGAAATGTTTTCTCTATTAGGTGAGCTGTCAGCTCCACATGCAGTGCTGCAGGAATGCGGATATATAGGCTTAAGATTATCATCATCCTACAAACAGATCTTTCCCTTGTAGCAAGTTCAGAATTCACCAATGGGGCTAATTCAGATTTGAGGTCTGTTCTTAAAGAATTGTTTAAACATTCTTATAGAATAGCTGCTTCTCTTATAAGATTGCTGAATAAAAGTACTATGATTTAATCCAGTGACTTGCAGAAGGGCCCCTGAAGATTCCTTACTTTAGAAATTATGGGCATAGAGAATGTCTCATGAAATATACATCTCATTTTTAAGAAGGTCTCCTGGGGACACAATCACACAGAAGACTACCTTGATGTCATGTAAATGGTATTCGAGGACATGCAATATAAAAACAGGTACACCCCAGAGAAGACGAGATTTTGTTGTTTTTATAAACTCAGGCTTTCCTCCAAATAATTTCTACCACTGATGCAACCATAAGAGCCCAAAGCGTTCCTGTATGTGGGGAAGCAATGCAAAAATATAATTTTATTTTATTTTTTTTCTGGAAAACTTTTAAAGCCTACTCATGATGTAGGGCTTCCGTTGATTCCAAAGAAATGCACATCCTTGAGTACTTGATTTTTACAGATGAAATTCATTTAACAATCACGTTAATAGCCTTTTTATTTTAAAGTCCTAAATATATATCTACACCACTATTCTCTAACCTCTGCAACAATTTATCAAAGCCATTTAAATTAGTACAATGGCATGGAGTGTTAGCCTTGACACACTACGAAAGAGAAATTGTTTCTAGACAAATTGGCAAAATCTTTTAATGCTATCAAATTTGCCTAATGCAGTCTTCAGGTTAATCTGTAAAAGGGTGAGCTGTATGTTTGCTCATATCTTATTATCCTCAGCTGTCAATGTATAAATCAGTGCTGACACAGCCCTTCTAAATCATGCATACAATACACAAAGGGTTTGCTCTAGCCTGCCAGCAAGCACTAGAGCAAATCTTGTCCTACAAGGACTGTGAGGCTGATTACCTTCCTTATGTGAGAAGTCAAAATGTTGCTGAGAACTTTGGCAATTCCATCTTTCTGTAACACCCTGCACAGTTCTATGTTGCTTTCATTTTATACCAGAACTCTAAGCTTTACCCGGATGAAAGCATTTAGGATATTCAGCTTGGATGGGAACAGAGGTTTCCTTGAAAGTTTTCTGAGTTTTGTTAGATCTCTGTTCACCCAAACCTTCTGAGAATAAAGGTATTTCATGAATGTTACAAACAAGAAAGACCAAAATCAAGCAAGTAAGTACTTCCTTATCAATGTGTGGGTTTGAGGGTATTTGAAGGTATACTTTGGGAACCCTTATGCGCACATGACGGCAGATTGGAAAAGTCTCCCTGTGCAGACTCCCATTCGTCTGCATATGGCTCACAATAAACAGTGTCAGAACTGTGCAAACATGTAATTTATTTCAGGGTTTCTGGATTCCTCTTCTGCACCTTGTTTCTCTCTCCGCTCACGTCCTTCTCCACTGCCTTTCAAGCCCTGGGTGCTCACACTTTGTGTAAACAGGAAAGGATCTGTTCTCAGCCATGCATTTAGCAGCAGGCTGATTTTCTTCAGATGTGATTTTCAATTGCGCCACAAAATTATTCCAAATTAAGCAAAGAACAAGAGCATGCACCTTTCTGTCTTTTTTCTTTTCAATTCTCAAAAAAAAAAAAAAAAAAAAAAAAAAAAAAAAACCATCATTTTTCACATTAAAACATCCTAAAGAGGGGCCGGCATTTTAAAAAGTACTCCTGATTACTATTAAAAAAAAAAAAAAAAAAAAAAAAAAAAAAGCTTCAAAGATTTAGCCAGAAGCAGGGTAAACACATTCATTACCCAGATGATAAAGGTAAATAGTACAACAAGAAAAAATTTAGGATGCTTTCCTGGTTCAGGGCAAAGAAGGTGGGGTTTGGCTGATTTCTGTGAGAAAGAACCATTTGGTAACATGAGCGATTTCTTTTAGACCTGAAGCCTTTCTATTCCAGCTCAGGTTTCTTGCCTTCTCTTTTACCTGCGTCTCCTATCATTTCCTTTGCTCCTGTGCAAATTCCCAGTTTCCTCTCTAGTGTATAAACTTCTGGTTTGAAGCCCTATGTGAATGCTGTGGAAATGACCAGGTTAGAAAGAAAGATTTTCTCTAAGCGTTAATGTTCTGTGATCTTCTTGAGTGGTGGAGGGAAGATCTTCAGATAACCTGGAATAGTCTCGGCTGCAGATTGTGATTTTTTTCTAGGACTGGTAAACTTAGCCTTAGACAATGCAATTTGTGGCAAAACCCATATATTCCTTAGTGTCCCCCTCTGCCTCACTCACACAGAATTTCTGAAGCAGATCTGATTTTCTTAAACACTAAAAATAATTTAGCCTATTTTCAGAGTTTGATTTATTCTTGATAAAGGAGGCAGTATATAATGTTTCTAAATGTAAATGGTAAAATAGCAATATTAAGTGATAAAATATTAAACATTTGTTTAGTTGGCACCTAAAAAGAATAGCTTAAAATATTCCATCCTGTTTGTGAAAGTTTTTAGAAGAGATCACCCTTGAAAATTTGGAAATCTTGTAGAACTTATTTCCCTGTATTCATTTTACTTGTTTGTGTTTCTATCTATAGAAAATTTATATTTTACTGCAGTTTCCAAGTAAAAGATCATGTTACTATTTTGCTTTATTTTTTAAGAGTTAGAGCACATAAAATATACTGAATTCTGAATTAATACTGATCCTAAAAGTCCTTAATATCTGAACCAGCCAGAATCTGTCAATGTCCTAACTAAATACTTAGAGTATCTTCTACTTTATTTTTATATTTTGTTTGTTTTAGGTGCTGGCAATAGTTTGGTTCACATTCATAATACGAGTGTATGATGAAAGTGTCCCCAAATTTAATTGATTTAAAATACATCAAAATGGTAAGAATCAACCCAAAGGAATAATAACTTTTCACTATTGTAAAGACACCTGATTCATAGGAGGAAAAAAAAAAGAATAAATCTCATTAAGACAGTGAAAGATATGGGAGCAGTCTCTTCTATTTCTTCTTGGTGTTTATGAAATTCAAGTTAGTGTAAATGCCTAACTATACAAATGTTATACTGATTGATTAGTTTCGTGTGTGTGTGTGTGTGTGTGAGAGAGAGAGAGAGAGAGAGAGAGAGAGAGAGAGAGAGAGAGACTAGGATTTTACCCAGGAGTATTCTACTACAGAAGTACATCACCAGTCACAGTTCGGGACACCTGGAACTCAACGTCCCCTTGTATCAGTTTCCCAAGTGGCCTGTGCCACCCTGCCCCACTGTTAACAGAAATTCTTTTTTAAAAAAGAAAGTTCAAAACTTTATATTATAATACATGACAGTACAAAAATACAGGCAGGCCCTTATAAGTGAATACTTTAATATAATTTCTATAAGAAGAAAATTTCTCTCAGCACAAAAGCATGACAGTATTTATATGGGTACTGGTGCAGAAAATGTATTCGGAGGGATCCAAAATAATTTACACTAGTGGGGAATTTACTCTCTTTATGACCTTTCACGCAGCACATGTTTTCTCTTATAAATAAGAGATTGGTTTTTATTGTACAGTCTATCGTTTTACATGGGGGAGGAGTATGAGATGGTGCTAATAGAGAATTCCTTTTAAAAGATATTGGAGGAAAACTGGCTAGCTTGGCAGTCAGCTTCTCCGAATTCTAAGCAAACTAAACACAATTGGCTAGAAACTGAGTAACCAAAATAGTCATCATTGAACATCAAGCACATGGCAGGGTCCAAAAC